AGAGAGAGAGAGAGAGAGAGAGAGAGAGAGAGAGAGAGAGAGAGAGAGAGAGAGAGAGAGAGAGAGAGAGACAGAAAGTGAGTTTTTGCGAGAGATGGCCTCTTAAAAGAGCTGTTGGATTAAAGGTTGTTGTGGGAGATGGAGATGGAGGAGTATGTGATCTGAAGTAACTGCAAGACAGAAAAAGAATATTGAATTACAATTACATTACAAAAAGGTATTAAAGGCATGGCCAGTGTTGTGATTATTGTGGTAAAACCATAGCAAGTGTTGTGTTACTGTTTCAACTATAAACACCACAGTAAAACTATGGTTACTGTGGTAAAACCATGGCAAGTGTTGTGTTACTGTTTCAACTACAAACACCACAGTAAAACTATGGTTACTGTAGTAAAACCATGGCAAGTGATTTGTTACTGTTTCAACTACAAATACCACAGTAAAACGACAGTTACTCTGGTAAAACCATGGTAAGTGCTGTGGTTACTCATGTGCTCTAACTACAAATAGTAGACAGTAAAAACAGTTATTGTGGTAAAAGCATGCAAGTTACTGTGCTTTAACTACAAATACCACAGTAAATCTAACGTTACAGTTACTGTGTTAAATCCAAGGTATGTGTTGTGGTACTGTGCTTTAACTACAAATTCCACAGTAAAACTACTTAACTTAGGAAAAAGCATTGTAACTGTGTTACTGTGTTTACAAATACCACAGTAAAACCACAGTCTTAAAAGCATGGCGTTGTCTTATTTAACTAAAAATACCACAGTAAAACTAATTACTATGGTAAAATTTATGGGCACTGTGCTTTAACTAGCAGGATCGAGCTAATATACTGTGGTAAAATCACATTCATTCAGTGGCAATCGCAACCCATTTGTAAAGAAAAAACATCAAACTACACTTATACTTACACTTGAATTGCCGACAGTCACAACGATACATTAAATAGATCTTTAAATAAAATAAAACAGATATTGATTAAGGCGGTCAGGGACATTCTTTTTCTTGCCGCATTTTGTTTTTATTGGTAACGACAGTCAAAGGTCATTTGATGACGACACACCCGATAAACGAGACTGTCATATATAAGTATGCTAGAGGGCGCTTCATTTTAAAACGCCACTATAGGTCGTAATACGCTGCATGTACAAACGACATATGGGGTCGTTTTTCGGAGGAGGACAGTCTCAGTCAACTGTGTAATTCTTTCTTTTTCGCTTGGTTATCGTCATCGGTCTTTTTCGTTTTACCTCTTTGTTTTATGAGCAGGTGTCACTCGAGAATTGGCAGTTTAGGTTGTTTCTCCGTCATAAGCACAGCTGCAGCACGCGGCAATCTTGAGTTTGAACGACGGCTCGCGCTCCGGCGCTCGCGCTGTGCAAGAGAGGGGTGTGATCAGCGCGTACACGAGCGTGATTGACAGTGCTAAGACATTCCTCCTGGCTCTGATTGGTTGTTTCTGACCGGGAGCGTGTATTTCTGCAAATGACAATAGGACCACTGGGAGGAGCCAGAGGAGCTTGATTTTTACACAGATTATCTGTCTCATATTCTACTGTCAGGACATAATGACAGTTTTAGCAAATACATGTTTTCAAAAGTTACCTACAGGAGCTTTAAGCGCTTTGGTTTTGATAACCAGGAAATTAGATGTTTGAACTCCCATACTCCTCTACTACGGCTAGAATTAAAATAAATGGGGACTTATCCAAAACAATATTTCTTGGAAGGGGATGTCGACAGGGATGCCCCCTCAGACCCACTCTTTTCGCCCTCTTCAGCCTCCGGCGCAGGCAATCAGAGTAGACAAGGATATAACGGGGGTATTAATAGGAGACACACAATATAAGATATGTGCATATGTGGACGACATACTAGTGACACTTACCAGTCCTAATGCAAGTTTGCCCAAATTATTATCTCTTCTTAAAGAATTTGGTTCATATTCCGGCTCTAAATTAAATCTGCATAAAACTCAAATGCTCACTTTCAACTATGAACCACAAGAAAACATTTATAAAATCTGTCAATTTAAATGGAAAGGTAATACAATTAAATATTTAGGGGTACACATACCTAAAGAGGTCTCTGCCATTTATGACCACAATTACATTATAACAGCTGATATTAAAGCAGACTTAAACCATTGGTTATCATTACCAATGAACATGTACAACCGAATAGACGCTATAAAGATGAATACACTACCTGGCTGCTATTTCTTTTTCAATCATTGCCTGTTGAAGTGCCTCCCAAACAATTCAGTGAATGGAATAGAATGATCTCATCTTTTATTTGGGGAAAACAAAAACCAAGTATTAGATTCCAAACATTGCAACTCCCCAAGGACAAAGGTGGTATATCCTCCACTGATGGTTTGGATACCTTTAAAAAACTCATACATACAATTTAGGGAAGGAAGATACCTTCAACTGAGACACCACTTTGATAAATATATAAAAACTACTGGAGAGAATTCGGGAACGGACCTGATTAGAATATTCATCATCGACGCATATAAGAGTAATACAAACAGAAAACTGATTTCCAGGTTATATTCATAGATGGACAGGGGACTTTCAACAATGTCTGTAAAAATGAGGTGGGAGAAAGAAGCTAACATAAAGATAAGCGAAGATGACTGGTTGGATATATGCAGGACACAATCTACCACCTCTAGCTCAGGTCTGTTGAAGGAATTCACCTGGAAAAATCCTTTAAGATTCTTTATAACCCCCAATATAAAAAAGTCACAGATCAATAATCCTGAACATGGTCAGTGTTGGAGAATGTGTGGTAATATGTCTGCTGGTCATTTTCATTTCTTTTGGGGGTGTCCTATTATTTCTTTGTATTGGGTAGAGGTGGTAAAGGCAATTAGGTCAATAATCGTCTCAGAGCTTGAGTTTAATTTCAGCATTATGTATTTAGGAAATCTACCAACAGGGCTGAGAAAGACAGATAGATATTTGCTACAAATACTTTTAGCAGGTAGCAAGAAAGCAATAACTAGGAAATGGCTAAGTAAAGAGTTCCCGACAATTGCTGAATGGATAGAAATAGTTCGGGAAATTTATGTTATGGAACATTTGACTTTCTCTCTGAGACATGCCAGGAGAAAATGTGAAGCATATTGGATCTGAATACAAATTTAGATGTATATGTCTTGCCCCCGACTTGTATGTCTTATGTCTCTTCCAGAACAGTGGCCAGTTCACTACGTCATGCTGGTGGAGAAAAACGTTTTCTGACTTGCTCCTCCAAAATACCCCAAAGTGGCTCAAAAATATAGATCTGCATGTCACCAGCAGGGTGCCGCATTTAAACGTGTCTAAAGATTAGGCATGATGACATTTTCTGAACAAAAGGTAAACCTCTTTATCCAACGGAGTCGCCTTCTTGTAAATACCAATCATGTAGGTTTTCACTAACTGAGTGTGCAGGGCAAATTCCTGTGTTAAATCATTTATAAACCACGCTGAAAAATCGTTATGCTGGTGTTTCATATGAGGCCCATTTCATGTTGTTTGGTTTGTGACCACTTGATGGAGCTATGTCTTTAGAAAAGGCATAATGTTGAGGCAGTCTTTATTGATACAGGGCTGGAGTAAAGAGTCCTAAAACCGGAAATATGTTTTTAAGCTTTTTACTTCTGGCGATTGTGTTTAGGCTTCAAAGTTCATGAAAGTTGTTTTCGTTTGTAAAGATTTTCTTGATAAACAAAATGTGTAAGAATCGCACAGTTTTGTTGGCCACAGAGCTTCTGGAACCAGGATGATGCCTGAAGCATTAGGAAGCATGGCGTTAGTTTTTACTGTTATGCTGATGATACTCAGCTCTATATTTCTTTGCACACCAACGAAACTTACCAATCACAAAATTAACAGAATGCAGCTGATATAAAAAAAATCGATGACTAGTAATTTCCTACGATTTGGCTTAAGTTTCTAATTATTGGACAAAAACCTAGCACGTAGAAACCTAGAATACTGTCTAACACTTGATGGATGTTCTGTCAAGTCTTCGTCGTTAGTTAGTGTGCTTTGAAACCAATCTTTCTTTTGAAAGCATTTGTAAACCGCAGGCATTACTATAATTCTAGCATTACTAGAAGAATCAGGAAGTATCACCATAGTCTGTCAACACTGCATTTGCTAGAATCAGAAAGTATCACCATAGACTGTCAACACTGCATTTGCTCCTTATTAAACATTGCATATACGTTTTAATATCTTTACTTACAAAGCACTAAATGGTTTAGCTCCCCAGTACTTGAGCAAGCACTTAATGCAATATAGTCCTTCGCGTCTATTGCAAATATGTTGTTGAATATGTTTGTTTGATAAAATGTGTTAATAAATCATGTTTTTATTTAAGATACAGGATCAATTATGATATTTCAAGGATGGCACACATACCTGACAAGAAAATGTCTGGTGGCCATGATCTCAAATTGTTATTAGTATACCTTGCGAATGATTTCACAACTGCATTCAAATTGAAATATTATAGCTGGATCTTAAAGTTAACAAAAGTAATAAAGTAAAGTAAAACAACTCAAAAGTTGGCAGCCATGATTCAAGGCTATAATGGAAATAGTGCACCAGAAAATTGCATTTCCATGTATTCAGTTAGTAGATGGTTTTATCCGAAGCAACTTACACATTAGGAATATCACAAGCAATTTGTTGAATCATTTCAGTGGCTTTTGTGCTCCCGTGCTTTTCCCTTTCCCATTGTTCTCTTCTTCAAGTGTTTAAACCAAGATCATTGTTTATGGCTATGAACCTAAAAGTTAAATAAAAAAATAATTGTACAGCAATGATTACACAGGTTATACACCTCAATTCAATTTAATTTAATTATATATATATATATATATATATATATATATATATATATATATATATATATATATATATATATATATATATATATTTAAAATTAAATACTTTTTACATAGGCTATGTTTTCATGGAACATTGAACCTTGATCTAGGAAAATGTGATTTCTCCCTCTTATGTTGTTTTTCCCCCCAATCAATATTTAAAGAATAAATCATTAATGACATCCACAAAACAGTAAAAAAAAAAAAAAAATGTATTAATGGACATAAATATAAAACCTTCTTCTGGCTAACTGAAATTATAATTAATTAATTGTATAAAATTACAAAATATATATGACACCAGTTAGCAACCTTCCCCAAAAGACATTTATGAAAAATACCCGTGCTTTGTGAAAACAGTTTTAAAATAGACATTACCTGGATTTCTATTTGCATACAGTATATTAATTCCATATATAGATTTGAACTTTTTAATTGTTTTTCTATGTAAACCAACTTTGCAGACTTTTGACATCTCGTGGATGAGTGTTGCGTTTTTAAAACCCACTTCCCCAATAACAGAAGTTCAATTTTAAAAACGCATCTCAAGACCTCAAGTTCCTCTTCAAGAACGTATTATGTGTGAACGGTTCCTCAAACAATCTCCTCGCCCCATCAGAACGTATTGTTAACAGGTTGTGACCAGCTTTAAAAATGTTCTTAAATAAACATCCACCATGTTTCATGTCTTTGTAAACAGAAATCTGTGTTTCTCATTTTTGTTTGTTTGTGCTTCCATCCCAGACAGGGATTTTGAGATACTTTTATGTATCCCAAATGATGCTTTTAGGAAAGTTTGGGATACTTTTATGTGGGTCTCTTTACGTCCTTCCAGATGTCTATTAGCTGCTGTGGGGATCCTAGGATTGTTGTAATGACCCTGAGAAAATCCTCTCGTTTATATTGTCCCAGATAGGCTCTAAACTGTGAAGGGTCTGGGGGGGATGAGGGTGCAATGCCCACATGTTTCACACAAGCGCCCACATATGCGTCTTCTATGTTGAAGGGCTTTATTTCCTTGGAAGCCTCAACTATTTTTTCTGGCAGGTCATTGGAGAAAACATATCCCATTCCCAGTAGGTAAGTGGGGTATTTCGGTTCGGGGTACAACTCCTCCGACACGTACCATTTAGAATTTTTGTCTCTGACGACAGGCCGGTCCCACATCACCATTCCAGTGATATAGTTCTGTCTTGGTGTGTTGGGTGCCAATAGAAGAGTCATCAAGTTTTCCATGTTTAAGTACATGTCAGAATCGACCTTCATACTGAAATTGGCTTGAGGACAACGAGTGGCCAACCAGTCCATGATCACCATCGTCTTTATGGTCAGGTTGAAGTACGAGTCCACAAAGTTTCTCTGCAGTAAGTCTCCGTGTTGTCGGCTCTCTTCCTCCAGCTGCTGTTGAGCTTTTTCCGAGTCGGATCCTCCAGTCAAACCCACCAAGAACAGAGTCATCACTGCTTTTCCCTGGACTGTGCTCTCATTCCCCCACGTGCTCCGGATGGCGTTTCGAGCTTCTACCTGATGGGGCGCCACAGGGACCATCAAGACCAGGAACGGATTCTGCTGACATTTATCAGGTTCATCCAGAATGTAATGATAGTTGCTTGGATGAGCTATATGATAATAAATTGTTGAACCTCTTTGTTGTATTTGTTGATTGGGCAAATGTGCTAATGTGTCTTTTTGATTATGATCGCCCCAAATGCTGTCAATTACCTTAGATTGAGTCTGATTCATGATTTTAGTAAACCATGTTTGAGGGACCATAATTGTGTCCAAAGTGAAATCAGAGGCGTAAGCAACGGCAAACAATAAGAATGTCAATGTAAGCAGCAGAAAAAATGCCGTTTTAATTTGATGTATAATTGGACCTCTATCCTGAGCCAAACTGCATAGAGAAAAACAAAAGAGAAACAGGTCAAAATTAGTCTCACAGTGAAACATCAGAATTTTTTAATTAAAATATGATTTATCACAAAAATAACTCCGTTGCAAATCTTTAACTATGTTTACACGTTACATTATGATAGTGATTTAAGTTTCATGAACTTTAAGTAGGCCTTACACAGCTTTAAGTAGGCCTACACAGCTTTTGTCAGAAATGTTGACACGGACATCACTTAAAGATAGTTTGCAGTAAGTTGCATTCTTTGACTGATTCAGAGAATTTGTTAATTTAATGATTCATTAGCCTGATTTAAATGGCATATAGGATTTCCAAATCACGGGCTGGAGGACGGAGGGGCGAGAAAACGCAAAAGTGTAATGTGCGAAACAATTCTGAACAACTCATTAAAGGAACTATCTCATAAGAGTTATTTGTTTGTAGATTGCAGGCGAAAAATTCCTGTATGACTTTTTTTGCCGCGATTTCGAAGAACGCATCTGATGTAGGCTATTTGTTCATGACGTTAGGAAATAGTCGTCATCATAAATAGTGGGGGAAAGCAACCTCGTCTGTGAATCCAAAATGGTGGTATGTACAGTCTGGGTTTTATTACATTTATGAATAACGGTAGAGAAATAAGTTCTTCATCAAATGCAGAAGTGTTTTGACTATAGCCCTACTGCATTTCAAGATCTTTGATGGAATCTAGAATTGATGCTTGCAAGTGATTTCATTTCCTGGTAAAGCCAATTTAAAATATTTTGAGTCAATAACAAGACACCCAATTTGTTTGTGCCGTACACCTAAATACACCTCTTAGAATAGATCATCGGTTCCCAACAGGGGGGCCTCAGCGAGCTCTTCTTTTTTAAAGGTTCATGAAACCCCAAACCAAATTTTCTGAGATTTTATCAGAGGTATATGTGTTGAACACCATTGAAGACAATGTTAGCATCAGTTAGATTTAATAGCAGGGTTAAAATGGTTAAATTTGAGTTTTTTTCCGCTTTTTTTGTCTTCCGGGTTTAAAATCTTCATCGTGTCAGTGCACTGTGAGTGCGTTGATGACTCATCGGTGTCTCATAATTATTAATGAGACTGAGTTTTCATATCCTATGAGAAGACACTGTCTCTTAATTATTCATGACACCACGTGGATCTTTCCAGTGACATGTCAAACTGTGATATCGCTTAGCCTAGTAGATGAGAGAGGCAATCATGGGACGCAAGCAAGTGTTTGTTTTCGTGGTGCAAAAGTCCAATTGGGTTGAATATGTTTCCCCGCGATGCTGCCCGTGCCCGGGCTAGACTCTGGCTCTGGGCGGTTGGTTTTCCATCAACCACGGACACATCTAAACGTGTGTGCCGCAAACATTTTTCTCGAGAGAGCTTCGAGAATTGGAGAATGGTGGACTTCGCCTTGTTGACGACCAATGCAGGTTGCGTCTTGCGAGTGATGCGGTACCAAGTCCCGAGGACTTTCCCAGCAAACATGCCAGTGCGGGCCCACTGTGGGCAAGTGTGGGTTTTCTGTGGGACAGTGTGGGCAAGGGCAAACCCTTTGGGGCCCCATTTGGGCTTTCTGAAGGCAAGCCCACAGTGGGCTTGCCCACATATACCCCTCAAGGGCCCCTAGTGGGTTAGCCCATGCGGGGCCCATAGCAGTTTTGCCCATTTGGGCCCCCATGAGGGTTTACTGTGGGCAACCCACTGTGGATTTGCCCACAGAAAACCCACACGGGCCCCTAGTGGGTTAGCCCATGCGGGGCCCATAGCAGTTTTGCCCATTTGGGCCCCCATGAGGGTTTACTGTGGGCAACCCACTGTGGGTTTGCCCACAGAAAACCCACATGGGCCCCCAGTGGGTTAGCCCATGCGGGGCCCATAGCAGTTTTGCCCATTTGGGCCCCCATGAGGGTTTACTGTGGGCAACCCACTGTGGGTTTGCCCACAGAAAACCCACATGGGCCCCCAGTGGGTTAGCCCATGCGGGGCCCACAGCTGTTTTTCACTATGGGGCCCCCATGAGGGTTTACTGTGGGCAACTCACCATAACGGTACATTGTTTTAAGTTGTTTAACAGTCATATGTTTTAAGATTAGAAGGTTTAAGATTAGATGCTTAATCAAACTATTTAACGATCCCGTAATATGTCATAAATGTTATTTCATTCAACAGTCCATAATTAACTAAAACTGCACATAATGGATTATGAGCATGTGCATTTAAAATAACAAATTTGTGACTTATAAGGAATTATAAAAAATAATATAGATGTAACTAGGCTATATATTGTAGGTCTTAATGAGTCTTTATAAATATATTTATAGAATAGTAATATTGCTCATAAATAAGTATAAATGGTGCTATAATTCATTATAAGCATGGACTGCATATAAAGTGTTACCGTATTTATTAAATAAAATTAACTTATTTGTCACAATAAAAACAATGCAAATGGGTTACTGATTTGTTTTGGTATTCATCAGTGATGTATATTTATTATAATACAATTATATATTGTTGATACTAATAAATATATCACTGATGTAACGACTGAGACCAATCAGACACAAACGAAACTGCAACGTCACGGGACCGTAATTTCATTACCATCTTTAATTTATATAAAGCAGTGTTTAGTGCTTTCATATTCTCTTTTAATGTAAAAACAAAAAACAAAAAAAAACATTGGTCATAGAACTGCACAATGATTTTTAAATTCATGATTTAAAATTAATGATATTTTAAAATGTTAAATGTTGTATTTCTAGATGTTTAAATGCTGTGTGCCTTTTGAATTGTTCTATGGTTTCAATGCGCGTGCGCGTAAACATTGAGTCGCATTCAAAGCTGTCTGATTCAAAGACAGGAGCGCACGCGAGCAGATGGAAACCATGGAAACGAGGAAACCTCATCAACTGACAAAAAGCAAAACTAGCGTCTCTCGCTGTTGTTTTCGCTACTTTCAGGTAAGTTTAGTTAACATAATCACACAAATAATACATACAAACGTTCCTGACACCTTTCTTACGTATAATTGATACGCTTCTGTTGAATATTTACTTTATAGAAATGGTTTTGTGTCTTCGAAAAAGTCCGTTAGCATCTCAACCGTTTTCAGAATAGGTAGCAGCTAGCTAAGGTAAGGTAACGTTACACTTGAGCTCTTGTTTTACATAAGTTTGGGGTTTTAACCACATCTTTGTGTTGATAACAGTTTTTGATAGTTTTGTTTTGCTGGTAAAACCCTGAAAAACCTCTACAACAAAGGGAGAATTATTGTTTAAACATGATAATAATTTCATATGCATTTATTGCACAATATATATTACCTTAAGATTATATATATATATATATTCTTTATCTTTTCTGCATTTCATCTCTAGCTTGCTTCCTTGTAATAAACCCTTTGTTCTATTGTAAATCCTATGTAACAATTTTGGCTCTGTGACACATTGCATGTTATGTTCTAATCTAGAACCTTTGTTGTGGAGGGTTTTTTTTTCTGTCCCTCCTGAAATCACTTTTATTATCAATCTTCTAGAAGATCATCATGCTGATGGCCTGCTGCACCCCCTGTCCAAGACAACCTCCGTGCGGCTATGAACTCGACTAGTAAGCAAAACCTCAAACATGTTCAAACGTTGGGGGTCTGTAGGTTTATGCTTTTTAATGAAGTCTCACACTTTACATTCATTAACCCCAGTTTTTTTCAGTGATGTCGTCCCTGAGAAGCCTGAAGGCTGAATAGGCGGCAAATATAATGTTATAATGGTCATAGTTATAATAATTAATTTAACTATTATGATAACAGGAAATCATGGTCATTGGTGTTTATATATATTTTTTTTCTCTAGGTGTGTTTTTAACTATGTTGGCCAATGAGACAGACACCATACTGTCCAACTCAAAGATATATATATTTTTTTTATTAATAAATACTGAAATTCTTTTTACTTTTAAATGCTGAATTCAGGGAGTCGACAACTTTAGGCATAGTTATTTTTCACAGATATCTGGCCAGTTTACTCATGGCTCATACTCTTAGCCTTTAAAATGTTTGAATTTATATCCACAATGCAATATCAGGGGGTAAAGATATCATTAGAGTTTTTAAAGTTATGGCTATGCTCTTGTTACCAGATGAGATATAATCATTTGACCCTGTGATTCTTCAGGACCAGATCTTGATGCCATCCACACTCAGTACATGACGAAGGTGAGTTTCCCAATATCACAAACCAAGAGATAGAACACAACAGGCCTTCATCCATATTAACTCACCCATACGTAGGGATAGGTACCAAAACCCGGTATTAAACATTAAACGGGCCCTGGGGCCAAATTAAGGAAGACCGCATAAGCCCAGACGTTATCAGTTCTGCTGACGGTACTGAAGAAATTACACACACTATTTATTATAGACATTGTCTTGCAAATTCTGTGAGGATTAGGAGGGGTGTTTTAAACAGTCTTCATACAACATGTTTTTCAGGCTGGTTGTTTGTAATTTTGTAAGAGTAGGGAGAAAATAAAACCTTTATTAAACATTAATGAAACGCATGTTTATGTTTTGTAAATGATTAGTTAATCATTAACTAAGCAATTGTAAATTACTTATAACTGAATCTACAAAACATGATACATACAACAATTAACATATCACTTATTAAACATTTATGAAACGCATAATCATGTTTCATAAAAAATTGACTTAATCATTTACTAATCACTTGTAAATGACTTGTAACAATTTACAAAACATTCATAAAATGTTAGTATATCACTTGCTAATCATTTATGAGTGTTTTGTAAACCCTTAGTTCATCATTAACTAACCAATTATAAATGACTTACAACTGAACGTTATTATAAGCCGCAGCTCTCTCATTAGTCGCCTTTCCACTGCCGGGCCAGGGCCGAGCCGTGCTAGTGCGTGCTAGAGCCAGTCGCGTTTCCACTGTCACTTCCGGGGCTTGATCGGGGCTTACTCGGGTCCAACGGCCAGGATTTCTGGCCCGTCGAATACCTTGGGCCAAAGCGGGCCAGCTCGGGCTAGAGGCGTGCTCAAGGTAAAAGGCGGAGTTTATCGGTGTTATGGAACGTTATGATCTGAAGCAAGATGCACATTTCACTTTTTTATATCGCGCAAAATAATCGCTGCTCGAAAAGGTGAATCGCCTGTACTGGTCTGTCGAAGATACCAAAGCTCTTCTGAGCATTTGGGCAGAAGAAAGGGTACAACGTCAATTTGACGGCGTGTGAAGAAACGAAGACGTTATAAAATACATCGATGCTGAACTTTCTAAGCTAAGCATTCAGCGAGCAACGCTTCAAGTTTAGGAAAAAAAAAGTTGCGGGCGCAGTATTGTACAAGGCGATTCAAACGCACAATGGACAAAGCGGAGCTCAGAGAAGGAACTTTCCAAATTCCATGGTTCGACTTGATGGACAGTGTGCTGGGTCACCGTCCCTCTGTTAGTGGCGACTCGCGAGACAATCTGGACACTATTGCAGGCTGCAGCCACGGCCGGTGAGTTAAAGGGATACTCTACTGGTTTTTCATATTAAACTGTTATTCCGTGAAAAGTCCTCTCCTCCTCCCTCTCATTTCAACGGGAGCGGACTTTTCACGAGTGATGATATTACTGCGCCGAGTCGAAGTGCTCCCAAGCACTTGCTATGGTATTCTGCCATACAATATAGTTATCCATTGTACACGCTTAGAAAAGCGCAACGTTTTATTTTGTGTCACCGTTCTTGGTCGAGTTACACTACTCTAGTAACTGTGTTTAAATAGGGAAAACGTGGAGGTGTTTGGTCGCTTCTCTTCTTGGCACGTATTGAATGAACAGGGCTGAGATAAGATCTAACAAAGTTTCGCCGCAAGACAGCGATTTAGTGCACGCACTGAGACGAGAGAGGTATGTATCAACTCGTCTTAGTTAAGGGAATAACATAGTTTAATATGAAAAACCAGTAGAGTATCCCTTTAATATACATGCTATCTTCCTAACTTAAAAAATAAATAAATTCATAATACCCGCTGAAATGGGTTGGGTAGCGGGGGCGGGGTTTAGGGCAGCGCTGCGGGGCTACTGGCCCGGCAGTGGAAACGCAAGCCCGGTGCTTGAGGCCCGAGGCCACTGGCTCGGCTCGGCTCGCTGTTAGCCCTGGCCCGGCCCTAGCCCGGCAGTGGAAACGCGGCTATTGACCTAGTAGTCAGTCATTCTCTCAGTTGAGCATTTATAAATAGCACCTAGAACAACCCTTATTTTGTTTTTAACATTTGTATTTCAATTGATCCTTTCTCACTTAGATGCTGTGAAAAAAATCAGTCAAGCCACTGCATGTGAGGTGGAAGCCTCTATAAAGACATGGCTCCGTGATGCCAGGGACGGAGATGGGGGAAGGCAAGGAAGGGCCAGAACTGCAGAAATACCTACTGGTGCCCCTGAGGGGATTGCTTTTTAATTTACTTTGACGTGTTTTAAGTGTTCTGTGTTTCTGTTTTTGTGGTTATTGCTGTTTTAAACTGTATTATTATTAATTATAATTATTATTTAATATAAATAAATTATTTGGGGAAAAAAACATGACCCTCGATTTATTGCTGCTAACAAGTGCAATTGTACTGCATATAGTAATATGGGTGTACACACTCTGTGTGCTCAAACTTTGCACCTGCACCCACAGTGTGCCCACATCCAGCCCACATGAGGGCCTGCTCTAATTTGTGTGGGCCAGCCCAAAGTCAGCCCACACTTTGAGCTGTCCCACTGGGGTCCCAAAGTGTGGGGCCCACACGTGCCCCGCATTTCACGCCGGTATCTGGGCCCACAGTGGGCTGCCCGCAATGGCCCCACATGGGCCCCTATAAGGGTTTGCTGTGGGCCCACAACTGGCCCCAATGGGGGCCCACTCTACTTACTGTGGGCCTGCCCACAGTCAGCCCACACTTTTGGGCTGTCCCACTGGGGCCCCACCTGGGTCCCAAAGTGTGGGGCCCATACGTGCCCCGCATTTCACGCCGGTATCTGGGCCCACAGTGGGCTGCCCGCAATGGCCCCGCATGGGCCCCTATAAGGGTTTGCTGTGGGCCCACAACTGGCCCCAATGGGGCCCACTCTACTTACTGTGGGCCTGCCCACAGTCAGCCCACACTTTTGGGCTGTCCCACTGGGGCCCCACCTGGGTCCCAAAGTGTGGGTCCCACACGTGCCCCGCATTTCACGCCGGTATATGGGCCCACAGTGGGCTGCCCGCAAGGGCCCCATTCGGGCCCCAAAGAAGCATGTTTGCTGGGTTTCTATCCCTTCAGAGGTGTGTGTGTGTGTGTGTGTGTGTGTGTCTAAAATGAGACGTCATCCACCTCCACAGAGCCATCTTTATTATGGGGGTTCAGGGGGCGCGTAGATCATATGCACGTAACGTTTTTTTTTAAGCGGAAAATTAATAATTTTCAAATATATGTATTTATAGTGTCTATATAAACAACTATATATTTTATAATAACATTATAATTATACATGTAGCCTACATTAATATGTTCTCAATAGAATTATGATTACTGTAGGCTAATATAGCAGGGCATTCAGTTACTTTTGAAAGGACAATAATAAAGTGTCGTATTTCATAAGACTTTAACTTTGCCAGCTATAAAAAAAATCTAGCATTTCCTCACGTTTTACCACTGCTTTTAGTGACAGTCGATATGCATGGGATACTGGCGATGACAGTGATGGCCATACCACACCCCTTCTCACAGCCATCCACGCCCATTTAAGTTGCATTTTTCAAAAAGATTGTGAGCTAGACTTGAGCTGAAAGAGGGGGGTTTCATGACCCTTTAAATAATGTCTGTCAGTGGAACACACGCACAATTTTTTTTTTTTTTTTTTCATACAAAAAAGAAAATAAGCTCCTAAAAAAATTGGACCCCACTGACCTTCATTGAATGGACCAAAAAAAAAAGTGTTTTTTTTTTAGATTGAGTAAATCATCTGTTCCTAACGGGGGTCTCGGCCCACAAGGGAGCCCACAACCTTCACTGAGGCCTACGCCTACGCTACGCTGAATGAGGGTCGCGTCATATTAAAGCAGGAGTCCGCAACTTTTTTTATGTTCAAAATTTACTAAATATATATAATGAGCGAGTACAGTATCCATTTTCCAAACCGTGTTTTTTTCTTATCCTGAGTCACTATGGTACACCTATAATAATATTGGGACTATTTTACACTGGTTCGGGTCGTACCGCTGCGTGTAGCCCAGTGCCTGCGAGACTCGTCATAGACATAAACAGAGAGAAGTAGCTTCGGCTACAATGCTCTTCCGCAAGACGCATTATTCTCTTAATAAGCATGAAAAAAGTTAAATATTATCTAATAATATGCTAATAATACTTATTATAATATAAATGCAAAAAAAGTTTGGGAACCACTGTCTTAGATGATACATGTTTTTGATTTCTAAATTAAAATTCATGATTTCAAGCTAATGTTTAAATGTAAAATGTTTTCATTTTATATGAATTATTACATATCACATTTGTGTTTCCCTTTTCTATCACATATTGAAAGACACTGAACAAAAGAAAGTGTAATTATATAGCCTATACACTCACACATACACATCTGAGCTCCTCCATCGAATCAGTGACCAGTTTATTCATGGCACATCAAATTCTAAGTTACTCTAGTTGAGATATCTTCAACTCTGCTCCTGGGGACCCACTGTCCGGTAGTTTAGAGTATTTTCAAACCTAATCACACACCTTAAGCAGCTAATGAAGCTCTCCAGGATCGCTTGAAAATACACAGGCAGGTGTGTTGAAGCAGGTTGGAAATAAACTTTAAAGGACAGTGTGTCCCCAGGAGCAGAGTTAAAGACTTCTGCTATAGTTTGTAAGACGTTGTAAACAACACAAATGACATTATAAAATATCTAATAATAAAACAAATAATTAAATGATGGGTTAGCTTACCTGTGCCAAATGTTTTTAATAGCCATTCTTGTGTGTTCAACTAGTAACCATACTACTTCACGTATTCCTTCCTGAATAGTCTCTTAGACCTAATAACCAGGAAGCATTTATTTTCTCTTGCACCTATGAACAAACCCACAGCTGAAACTTGTCCATCTTCAATGATAATACTCATTTTTGAATGCAATCATAGATTGATAGACATATCTATCTATCTATCTATCTATCTATCTATCTATCTATCTATATATATATATATATATATATATATATATATATATAGAGAGAGAGAGAGAGAGAGAGAGAGAGAGAGAGAGAGAGAGAGAGAGAGAGAGAGAGAGAGAGAGAGAAGCTACACACATCCAGAATCTATGGGAACATCCTCTCTAAGGTATTGTTCTCATTATGGGGTTAGGTTTGTTGCCGTGAGTAACATAATAGCTGCACCTTTATCAGGAGCCCTGTTATTGTCAGAATGAATTTGATTCTTATGAAGTGAGGTGAAAAGTTGCTTTAAACCTTGAAGAGGAATAAACGCACATAATGGAATAATACTTCCTTGCTAAATGTAGGCTACTATAACAGACACTCCCAAATTTCTAGGGAACAAGGTGTATTTCCAATTTGTTTACTCTGATGATTAGAAACATTCATGAGCTTATTCACGGTTGGTCTTTGTTCAGTAGGCTTAACTGTCTTCTTACAAATGGACAATTTCAGAAATGTTGTGAAACCAGTATTTCTGTTTTTTTTTGGTTTTCTATCAAATGTTTGTCTAGCACGCCCGCCGTCCGACTGGTGTTGCTGCAGTAAATGAATTCTGTTGGGTAAAACAATGAGACAGATAAAGTTGTGCTGTTATCATTAACGAGTCACTCTTGTAATCTTTTATTACAATAATTCAAAGATTATGTATATATTTTTTTGTATAATTAAATCACAATCTCTTGTGTCACCTTACATGTGACTCACTCAAACAAAACACAAATAAACATGTTACACCACTCTTGTAAGTGTCTTTCTTCTTATACTCAGGTAGTATTTTTCTCAGATAACTCAATACTCTTTCCCGTAAAACATACATCACCATGTATTAGTCTCTGTTGTCTGTGCAAATGTATCCTACTAAATAGCCTACTGTATAACTAAATAGTTGAGCGAACCATTTAAACTGAATTACAGTACAGCGGATATACTTAATCAAAAGATCATTAGAACAACCAAATATCAGCAGTAACCTATAATATAGAATGCAAAGATATATATTCAACAATTAGCGTTATATATGTAGATGTATCTACATATACATATACTTCAATCTTATATCCCATGGCGATTGCTTAATACATCGCTTTTTATGCTATAAACACTATAAACATCACATTAATTTGGGTATTCAGTGTGCTGGAGCCTCTAACCATTTAGATAGTATAATACTAATACCAGGCCTAACGCGGTACGTCCGCGAATGAAACGTAATTTTCATAAACACAACACCGTCTCTATTAAACATCTTAACTTTACTCAGGAAATGTATAACCCTCTTAAAACAGTGTACACACGGTATCACCATATTGTTTCATGTTTTTATGTCCATGGTGATTGATTTCACCCACCTGTTTGGTAAAACAATGAGACAGACAAAGTATTGGTATTACTCATCACAAGTTCAGCATAATAACAGTAATTGAAACAATATAGACATAATAAAATAAATCAAATACATAAAGAAAAATATAATTATTCCTATGACTATACATACAGGGTGTCACACTTGGAATAAAAACATTTTTATATAGTTGCTGTTGTGTTGCAGCAGTGCTGACTTATGTCTCATACAGATGAAAAACAAGTAAAATTGACTTCATTATTCGGTTTTAAGTTTTTGCTCTCACTTTTTTAAAGTAAAATTCACACATGGAATAAAGTAAAATTCACACATGGAATTAAGTAAAGAGAATAGGGACAACCCTCTTAGACCATGCGTTGGGCACGATGACCATTTTTCCCGTCGTTAAACTAGCAAAAGTGGATTCGGACACACCTTAAGTGCACTTGCGCTGTGTCCTTTAGATAGATAGATAGATAGATAGATAGATAGATAGATAGATAGATAGATAGATAGATAGATAGATAGATAGATAGATAGATAGATAGATAGATAGATAGATAGATAGATAGATAGATAGATAGATAGATAGATAGATAGATAGATATTGTCATTGTATGCGATACAACGAAATTCTGTTGGAGCAATCCTCTCCAGATAGCAGCATAGAGTAAAAAGATAAAAATATAAAATAAAATAAAAATGAACCTAGATCACCATACACATACACATCCATATACATACGTACATACATATATACCCATATACATACTTACATATACAGAGGAAGAAGATACAAACATACATACATACATACATACATATACATACACACATATATATATATATATATATATATATACATACACATACACATACACATATACACATACACTAACACATTCTCAATAAATAGATAAAACAGTGAACACAGCAGTTATTGCACAGAACCCGATTGCACTGAGAGGGTAAGAGGGGGTAAGAGATGTGTGTATCTATGTTTGTATGCATGGATGTGCGTATGATTTTTGTAATATGTTCACTGCTCTGGGGAAGAAGCTGTTCCGGAGTCTATTTGTGCGTGTGCTGGGGGTTCTCAGTCTGCCTGAGGGGAGGGTGGTGAACAGGGAGTGAGGTGTCCTGCCTGATGTTTGTGGCCCGTGTGAGAAGACGGCTTGAGTATATTTCACTCAGATTCGGTAGGGGGGAGCCAATTATTCTCTCAGCCGTCTTGACAACCCACCGCAGGTCCTTTCTTTCCGCTGCTGTGCAGCTGGAGTGCCACACAGTGCAGCAGTATGTCAGGGTTCTCTCAATTGTGCAGCGATAAAAGCGCATCAAAAGTTCCTGAGGGAGCCCATTGCGCTGCAGGGTCCTCAGGAAGAACATCTTCTGCTGGGCTTTTTTAATGGTATGGGAGGTATTCTCGCTCCAGGTTAGATCCTCTGCAATGTGCACTCCCAGGAACTTAAAGGTTGCCACCCTCTCCACCTCCTTCCCGTTGACACACAGTCCGTTGTGGTTTATTTTGTTCCTTCTGTAGTCAATTATTATTTCTTTTGTCTTCTTAATGTTGAAGTTGAGGTTGTTGTCCGTGCACCAAGCTGACAGGTTCTGGACCTCTTTCCTGTAGGCTGTTTCGTTGTTGTCTGATATTAGTCCCACTATGGTTGGGTCATTGGCAAATTTGATGAGAGTGTTGGAGTTGTGTGAGGAAGTGCAGTCGTGGGTGAACAGTGAATAGAGGGCTGGACTAAGGACGCAGCCCTGGGGGACGCCGGTGTTGAGAATAATGCTAGAGGAAGTGTGATGGCTGATCCTGGGGTCTATTGGTGAGGAAGTCTTTAATCCACTGGCAGAGAAGGTCTCCCAGGCTCAGAGTTTGTAGTTTGTTAATCAATTTGTCTGGGTTGATGGAGTTGAATGCAGAGCTGTAGTCAATAAATAGCATCCTAACATAGCTGTTGGGAGTTTCAAAGTGTGTGAGGGCTGTGTGCAGTGCGTCATCAGTGGATCTGTTATGCAAATTGATGTTGATCGAGATAAGGAGGGATGCGGGCCTTGATGTGGGGCAGTACAGTCTCTCAAAGCATTTCATGATCACTGGCGTGATAGCCACTGGCCGGTGATCATTCAGGCTTGTGATAGCTGAGGTTTTGGGTACAGGGATTATAGTGGCGGTTTTCAGACAGGTGGGGACTATGGCTTGCTGTAATGACAGGTTGAAAATGCGTGTGAATACTGGAGTGAGCTGGTCAGCGCATTCCTTCAGCATTCGACCTGCAACTCCATCAGGCTCCGTTTCTTTATTGCAGTTGATATTGTGTAGTGCTCTCTTTACCTGGTAGGTCAGAAGAGTGAGTGGCTGGTCGCTCCCTGAGGAGGTGGTGCTTGTGTATGAATCTGGTCCCCTGTTGTAGCTGGAGCTGGCGTCTTCAAAGCGGGCGAAGAAGGTGTTTAGCTGGTCTGGGAGAGAGGAGTCAGTTGAGGTGGGGTTACTGTTGCTCTGTTTGTAGCCAGTAATGTTCTTTACACCCTGCCACATTGTACGGGGGTTGTTGTCATAGAAGTTGTCCTCAATGCGTTGTTTGTATTTCCGCTTTGCACATGTGATGCCTCTAAGTAGGTTGACCCTCGCCCTTCTGTACTCCTCCCTGTCCCCTGATCTCAGCGCTGTGTCCCGAGCTCTGAGCAGTGCCCTCACCCTGTTGTTAAACCAGGGCTTTTGGTTGGGGAGCACTTTAATTTGCTTCTTTGTTGTTACAATGTCCGTGCAGAAGTTGATGTAGGAGAGGACTGTGGATGTATGGTGCTCAACTTCTGTATGTTTAAAGAGCTCCCACCTGGTGTCATCAAAGCAGTCCTGCAGAGCTGAGGAGGCTTCTGCAGTCCAGATCTGCACTGTCTTTACCTGAGGTTTGATCCTGCTGATGATGGGCTTGTAGGCTGGTGTCGGGAGCAGGGATAGATGGTCAGACTGTCCAAGATGAGGTGAAGACTGGGTTTTATAAGCTCCAGGCATCATTAAAATAGGGCCCTCTCTCTCATTCAAAGTCAGATAAAAGCTGCTATCTGAGCCTGTGTCATAAGTGATCATATCCTTTTTATAGTAAAGCACAGTGTCAGTTTCAGTTGAAAATCATAGACACAGAGATGTTAAAAGAAATCATCTTCAATTTGGGCAATTTGTAGTTAAATGTAGTCAATTTATTATGTCAGGTAAATTTATCATTCCAATTTCATAATCAGTTAAAGATAATCAATACAAAACATAAAATGCTCCGGAATAAAGAGAAGACGAACCCGCCATTAGGAAATACGTGAAGCTGAGAGTCTCGGTGACTCAGGATTTACGGGCTGATCTGTGATGCAGAAAAAGACCAGAGCCCCCTGCTGCATTTCATTATATAGACAGACCCCATTTCATATGTAAACATGAGTTCTTGCAGAAAGACTCGGGAGAATAATACTGTAACAATTAACCATTTATTAACAGCCAAGCAAGCAATATTATGATATAAAGTTATTTGGCGTAGGCCCCATCCATAGCTCGCAATCCGAGGGTCCGGACTCTGCAT